AAAATATACAATGACAAGTGAATAATTCAAGTGAAATACAGTAACATAAATACAGATTGAAATATACACATAAAGGTACAAAAGGTCTTATCGCTAGGACAATCTCTTACAGACAACCTTTGGTTAAAGGAGAACAGATAGAAGTGGGCAGGTGGCGCAAGAGTGAATTAATAATTTTTCGTGCATAAAATACAAAAACCTGTAATGTATTTTTTTTATGCTCGGTATCTTGGTATAACTCTGTCAATTTTAAACCGAATTGGATTTTTTTTTATCTGAAAGTATATACTTACAGATTTGTTCTATAGAATCTATCATCTATTCAGCAGTCTACAGTTTTTTTTTTTTTTAATGGATGATAATGGAATGGTAACTCCGCCTGCGCTGAGTGTTGACCATATTGGAAACAAATAATTACAATTTAATATTATTTTTTGTTTTCTTTTTTTCAAAAATAATCTATTGTTAATAAAGCTTATCTTTCTTTCTAACTGCTTAAGAAATCGTTATGACATCTCGTATACACATGTCACTCATATATGGATGAAGGAGGAGGGAGGAGGACATAAGTTTATATTTATCCCGAGAAATGTCCATATCCCGTTCCCGCGGACAAAGTCGGTTGCAAAAGCTATTTATGAAACGATAACGGATCTCGTCAAGACGTTTAGTACAATTCGGAAACGGGAATTTCGGGTTATGCAGGAACAAAGCGACTAATCGAACCCTCCTCCCGTATTGTACAGATCGGCCACTCGGTTGATACTCGTCCCGCGGGGGAAAGTGGATAAAGGGGGATTCATTCTGAATGATCCTTCAGGACTTTTATAAGTCGAAGATAATACCGTGTAGACACTATATCTTTATTAATATTATATATATTTGTTATGTGTATATCAAATTGTACTGTCTTAATAAGCCAGAGGGAGACTTTGTACAAAAGTCCTCGGGTACCTCTGTCCCATTCGTGTTTCAACCGTGAAGCAGTTGTGTTTGCATGGCTGTGTTTCGGTTTGAAGGGTGAGATATGGCGTGAATTTACTGAGTACAGAGGAATAACATCTGAGTCCTCAGGAATGGCAACGCATGGCAACGCTCTGTTATGTCCATGGTACTGTTCATGTCTATAGGCAACTTGTTTATCATTCTAAGTTGTGTAAAAAAAAAACCTATGTTTGTGCAAATAAATTGACTTGACTTGAAAGTTTGTAATTATGGATATATAGATAATTGGTACTTTTTCTCACAAAAACTACTAAACGAATTTGAAAAAAATTTTTACATAATTAGGTTATATCCTGATTTAATATGCAGATGTATAAACAATTTTGAATGTTATTGAAAATTATATATTTTACTTACATTTAATAAAGTCTCCTAGGTCTCGTAGTTTTCTTTATTATAGTTATTTACCTTTAAACCCATTGTTTAATTACATCAAACATATAAATACATAGTCCATAATATCGCCCACATTTTTGGTCCTTCGAGCCGGACTACTAAGGAGTTCGCAACAAGAATGTTTCTTAAAAACTGTAACTTTAACTTTTAGTTATTCAATTCTTTTTTTTTTTTCGTTTAGTAATATACACCGATAGACGAGGGCAAAGTCTCAGGGTGTTCCCTATTGCGAGTACTGATTTAATCTAAGTTAGATGTAAAAACTAGTACGTTTTTTTTTTATACCACTGAGGCGTCAAACAAGGATACAGCCCACCTGATGGTAAGTGGTTACCGTAGCCTATGAACACCTGCAATACCAGAGGTATTACGCGTGCGTTGCCGACCGTGAAGAAACCTCTTTACCCCCCTTTTGAAGAACCCCATGCTGTAGTCTCTTGGGAAAACCTCGGCAGGGAGCTCATTCCACAAGCTGAGTGTTCGTGGGAGGAAACATCTCTGAAACCGCGCAGTACGCGACCATTGAGGCTGATTGTGATTACTACCAGTAATGATTCTACTATTTATAAATCAATTACAAACAGTATAACCTCACAAATCACCACTCACAATCAAATGAGGCCGTCTCGCAACTTTCTCGGAAAAATCCCGCCGCTTAGACACCGTACCTCTGGGCCCATAACGCAATAAATCTCCGCCGGGTCATCCGTCCGCCAATTTGCTAAAAACATCTCCACCATGTTTTTCTAGCCGACAAATTCTTACATTGTACACACCTTCCACTATATTATTTATTGTCTGTATATTTACTTGATTTACTAGTATATTTTACTACCTATGTACATTTTTAGTGATTTGTAAGATGACGAAGTAGCAATAAACTGTCAACAAGTCATCATTGGGTGGATCATTAGACTTTGTACAAAAGTCGTTTGCTTGAGTACCTCTGTCCCATTAATATAAACCGCGAGGGGGAGACCTAACAGGGTGCATTGGTAGCAATGGGGCTACTAATACATATTACTAACAATCCCTTCTCATCCCTGAATTCGTGCGTTTATTTGTACATAGGTTGGATGTTGGTTTAAGGACTCAACCAATCGTCACATACAAGTAAATAGGTTATACGTTGCATTTGGGACAGAACATCAGGTCTACTCTTGAATCCAATATCAATCCAATCTATTGTCAATGACAATTTTATACTGCACTCATGAAAAAACAGAGGGAGACTTTGTACAAAAGTCGATTGCTTGCGTAACTCTGTCCCATTCGTGTTTCAACCGTGAAGCAGTTGTATTTGCATGGCTGTGTTTCGGTTTGAATGGTAGGATATGGCGTGAATTTATTTACCCGTGGTGGTGTAACAGTTTATCACCTCATCTTTTCCTTTTTTTTATACAACTTAGAATGGCAAACAAGCTAACGGCCCACCTGATGGTAAGTGGTAACCGTCGCCTATAGACATGAGCAGTATCATGGACAGAGTATACTGTTTCGCCCATGATATCCCCCATGCGTTGCCATTCCTGAGGACTCAACTGTTATTACTCTGTACCCTGTAAATGCACGCCATATCCCACCCTTCAAACAGAAACATAGCTATGCAAACACAACTGCTTCACGGTAGAAACACGAATGGGACAGATGCGCCCAATCAAACGACTTTCGTACAGTCTTTATTATAAATTATAAAAGAATCATTAAAATCGATTCACCTACCATTTGGAGCCAGTTATAAATATTTTCACAAATTATATCAATTAACTGCATCCAACATAGTAAGTCCATAGTATATTGCGGTCCACGGATAACTTCGATGCTTTACAATTCAAATTAGCTGTTATTACAATGACTTAAAGTTTTGAATTCTGCGTCCATATAGTTTAATATATTATCTCTTTTCATTTAAAAGCTTCCTCTTGTCAGTGCAACTAATTCATGCATCTTCCTCCAGCCAGCTCTATCCCAGGCCTTTATCTCCCTATACGACATGACACCTAGTGTTTCTTTTATCTGTCCTATGTAGTTAATCCTCGGTCTTTCTCTTCCTCTTTTGCCCTCTATTTTTCCTTCTACTATTAAAATACTACTCTTAAAATAATCGTCATGTTGTATAAGGTGGCCCAGCATTTTGCCTCTTCCTAATATATTATATGTATATATAATTCGAACAATTTATTTGTTGACTTGTTAAATTATATACAAGAAACTCACTAGTTTCTTTTTTCAAATCTCTGTTTAACATTATTATTATTTCATCTATCCATTCATTCAGTCCACTGTTGGACATAGCTTTTCCCTTGAGGGAAGATTTGCCAGTAGTTGCCACGCTTGGCTTGCTCTGTTAAAACTACGTGTATTTATATATTGTGACGACCTCCCTTGTACAGCGATGGGTGCTTAACGTAAATAAAGTGCCTTATTCGATTCCCGGTCGGGTCAATTTACCAAATGAATTGGAGTGATTTCCAGCAACTGCGATCCTGTCCAACTTTGGTGGACTTCAACTGTGCTTTCAACTTCGAGTTCCCAGAAAAGCCGATCCCCTCCAAAAATAGAAGGAATAATTTTTAAAAATACGTTTAAGGGAATATAATTTTTTCTAAAAACTCGAAACCAAAAAAGTTCATCGTAATTAAACAGATATCACACTTTATAGAAATCACCCATTTTTAACCGACTTCAAAAAGAAGGAGGTTAAAAATTTTATAGTATTTTTGTTTAATGTAAAACAACATACAAAAAATCCTAATAACTCCGACAGTTGTATACCTATTGGGAGAATTTTTTTTTATCTAAAAGTACATACTTACAGATTGTTTTTGTAGAAAATTCATCAAAATCGATACAGTAGTTTAGTTTTTAAATCAAAATAACTGGTTTTGTCATCATTGAAATCGGTTTTTTTTTATGGCACGTTATCTTTAATTATGCATAAGTTCATAACACTAATTAAATGGTTACAATAATTTTTTTTAAGACTCCCGAATGCGAAGTTACTCCTATTATCATTTTTAAACGTTTCTAATAAATTATAATATAATAAATAAATTGTTTACATTTGTTTTATTCATGTATAATTTTGAAAAACATTTCAACGCCCTCGTATGAATTATTATTAAAATTTCATTGTAACAACTGGTTTCCTCTTCGTGGTATTATCAAAAATTTTAAATATTTTTAGTAATTATTAATTTATTTTTACAAATAATATCTAATCGTTGCCACTTAATAATAATAATAAAAAATATATATTTCTATAAAAAATAAAAACATAAATATACAAAAATTTCATTCCTATATATAATATATATATTTTTGTTTGATTTATTTAACTATAGACACCTTTTTGTTGTTTCAATGTTGAAATAATGGCACAGCATAAAAATACATTTTACTATTCGAAATTTAAAATCAAAATTAGGACATTATATTAAGATAGAGGACAAGACGTAAAAATATTTTTTTTTTATATATCAAATACCGCTTAAACCACTTTTCTATATGATAATAAAAACTGAGTTCTTTTTTTAAATTCAAAACTTTATCAAAATGTTCAAAAGATTATACAATTTACAAATTAAAACACAACTCACCGTCAAGTAAAAACAGCAACCGAAAGATGAGATGACAAATCCTTTTCATCTTGAACATTAATTAATACGTTTATCACTTGCAATCTAACAATCCTAATATCGAATTGACATAAATTACACAGCCAACGAACGCAACTGTAAATATTCTAAAACACGATTATAACAAAAAAAAAAACAAATTTAACTAACATACATTAATTTATAACATTAATAACATAACGGTCCCCAATAACGCTACGCGGGATTACGCGGCGTGCATCGTAGCACCGAACACGGGCGTAGCGTCTCGCGCGCTGGTCCGACTGACTCTACGCCGTAGTTCGCGCTACGAGATTGCTCATTACCTCAGTATAAGGCTCGCATTCACTATATTATTTTGTTTAATAAAGTTCCGACGCGTGTATGCAGATGCGTTTACATAATGTTATGGTATTTTAAAGGATTGCACGGCCTCTGTGCGACACGTGCAAAATTAAACGTGTCTGTTGACACGGCGCGTCGTCAACACGGCAATATGGAATTTCGAATGGGCTCTAATGCTTTTTGAACTCTATTATTTTGAATATACAGTTTATTATAAGCTAAGTAGGGTAAAGTCAAAGAGGGATTATGGTTTAAGAGGCACAAGTATGTATAGGAGATTCCATCGGTTCCCGCTTAGTTGCTCGAGTACTTAGCGGATTTTAAGGAATTATGAAGTACTGTAGTTGTTGGAATTTTGTTTTTCTGTTTGACTTTATCATACCATCCTTACTGATGTTATAAATGGTAATTTATAAATTATTTTTTATTGTATTTATAATTGTGTAACTATCTGTTGTATTCTAAAACTGTATGTTTGCCTTAATACGTTTATTTAAATAAATAAATAAGGAAGTGAGTTTGTTTGTTACCTCAATACGACCTAACAACTTAACCAATCACTATGACATTCGGTGATAATATACTATATGTGATAGTGGAAGCAGGCTTAGGTGTATTCAGGTACTGGGCTGAATAGGGCGTGCTCGCCCCAGAAATGGTTTATGCCCACCCATAGTACGAAATTTCACAAAGCTAAGAGGGCAGATGTTCCTTTTTTAAGAGGCCAGCCTCACCTTCCCCTGGAATGTAATACTCCAATGGATAAGCTACTTCTCATGCCGATCACGCGAACGAAATCGCGGGCAAAAGCTAGTGCTATATAATACCAAGCCATTAATGTAAAACTGTTTTAGTTAAACATAAATTTAATACAAATATATGAAATATATTTAACATTTACTTTGTATGATTATTCAGTCGTGACAAAACCTATCAAATGATAACATATTTTGTTGTATTTCAAACTCATAATGTTGGAAATGTTTTATTTTATTATTTATTTATTTTAGGTAAGAGGTTTAAAAATATAGTTCCATAGATAAATACCTTATATTCCGACAAATATATTATATATATAAAAAAATAAAAATATATCCTAATAAATGCAGAAGTTTGTAACGATGGATAAAATCACTATATAAAATAACTTCTTTTTTATGTTAGGGAGGCAAACGAGCCGACTGTCCACCTGATGAAAAGCGGCTACAGACGCCCACGAACACCTGCAACACGAGAGGAGTCGCTTGTTTTTTTATGCAACTTAGAATGGCAAACAATCTGACGGTCCACCTGATGGTAAGCAGTAACCGTCGCCTATAGACACGAGCAGTATCATGGACATAACAGAGTATACTGTTTCGCCCATGATGCCCAACAGTACATCAGTTCGACTATTCCGTTAACTCAATTCGCGTTTTGTTCACGGCCATTCAGCATTAGTCCAAACGTACTTGTATTTACCGTTTGATATGTAAGCAAATTAACGGCACGTACTCATTAGTACCATGTTGGCGACGGCTGTGTACTAATGAGCGATTAAATAAGCAATATTGTGTTTAATTAACAACAATAATTACGATTATGTGGTCTACATAGATGTATATGGGAATAGATGTCGCAACTACCAGAGGGAGACTTTGTACAAAAGTCGATTGCTTGGGTTCCTCTGTCCTATTCGTGTTTCAACCGTGAAGCAGTTGTGTTTGCATGGCTGTGTTTCGGTTTGAAGGGTGGGATATAGCGTAAATTTACTGGGTACAGAGGAATAACACCTGAGTCCTCAGGAATGGCAACGCATGGGGGGTATCATGGGTGAAACAGTATACTCTGTTATGTCCATGGTACTGCTCATGTCTATAGGCGACGGTTACCACTTTCCATCAGGTGGGCCGTCAGCTTGTTTGCCATTCTAAGTTGTATAAAAAAAAAACACACTGACGGCCAACAGGTGATGATGATGGTGATGGAATATGGTATATGGCATATGGCCGTTTTCTATACATATGAAAGCATTAAACCCTACAAGATGCGTTATGATGTCCAGTGTACTTCTCATTTTTTTTATACCACTGAGGTGGCAAACAGCATACGGCCCACCTGATGGTATGCACATCCCACTTATGCAAGCACAGCAGCTTAATTAGAATCACGAATGCAACTTAGATACTTAAGTTGACGATTTTTCTACAAAGTCTCTGTGTGATAAGTTAAAGCTTCAAAAATGCGTGAATAGTTTTGTTATTGCCTCGTCTATTCCCATCTAAGTCTATGGTTTTGATTAATGTTTTTCATAGTACAACGATTCGGTTACTTGACTTTAATTGGGTTCGAGTTACGTATTAGATCACAATTTAAGCACATTTACGAGTACACCCTCTTCCTTAACCCCCCCTCCCTCACTAGCTGTTCCAAACCATTTAATTAATATCAACATTTATATTTGACTGTGAAGCAATACCTATCTTCAATCCAAGCTCCTTGTGGAATAGGCAGAGAAAACGAGATGCCAAAAGCTGCTATTCTTAGATACATCTCTTGTTTCCAGGAGTGGGTGTGTGCGTGGGTGTGTTCGTATGTGTGCGTGCGTGCGTGCGTGTGTGTGTGTGTGTGTGTGTGTGTGTGTGTGTGTGTGTGTGTGTGTGTGTGTGTGTGTGTGTGTGTGTTTTGTGTATGCGTGCGCGTGTGCATGCGTGTGTGCGTGCGTGTGTGTGTACACTTTTTTTAGATTACAATATTTCCCAATTTTTATCATATATAATTTCCACAACAAACCGGCGTGGGAATATATTTAACATAATATTGTCACAGTCTGAACTGAAGAGAGACTGCCTGTTTTCTATAGGTAGTTCGTCGGTTATATATATATAATATTAAAACACGAGTGGCAGCAATGTGCTCGGGCCCGCTCCGTGTAAATAATTCAATTTCCGTAACAGGAGGAAGCCGCGCGGTTCGACGCTGTGGCACCGTCAAATAATTGTCATTGTTCAGAGGAACGGTTACGATGAATTCATTGTCATTGCTTGCTACGAGCATCTATATAACATCTAAACGACGAGACAGATACGTCTTTCATAGTCGACTATTTATTAAAACTTTTTTTTTTTACAACACAGGAGGCAAACGAGCATGCGGCTCACCTGATGGTAAGTGACTACCGCCGCCCATGATCACCCACACACCAGCGGCATTGCAGGTGTGCTGCCGGCCTTTCAAAAAGGAATATGCTCTCTCTTCTATTCGTGTCTCATTTTTAATAGGTTAGAATGGGGGGAAACGGATTGTTAGTAATGGAGACTAAGAATCCTATTGCTAGCAATATACCTAACCAGGTCGATCTCCTCGCGGTTCCCCCTGGAAACCGTCATGGTTAATTCCTGATAAATTCATCATGATGGGCTACCTGGCCTGATTTCATTTCCATCGATCACCCTTCACTGGTGCCCCGCTAGCGTATACCGTTAGCACAGGCGGGGATACCATTCCATTTTCACCTATCAAAAAAAAAATTCAGAATGAAATGGTAACCCTGCGCTATCGATACATGCTGGTGAAACGCTAGTGAATTTTTTTTTATGCAACTCAGAATAGCAAACAAGCTGACGGCCCAACTGATGAGAAGTGGTAACCGTCGCCTACGGAAATAATAGAGAATACTGTGTCGCCCATGATATCCTTTATACATTACCATTCCTAAGGACTAAAGTGTTATGCTTCTTTTTCACCGGTTGGTAAGTAATCACCGCAACCTATATACCAGGCTTTCCCAAAGTGGGCGATAACGTCCCCTTGTGGGCGCTGCAGGCTTAAAGGGGAGCGGTAAGAGACCCAGAAAAAAATGTTGGCGTTGTGTAGAGGCTTGGGGGGTGATTTGTTGATCTTGAAGTAAAAGTAGTTTTTAAATAGGTGAAAAAAATTGTGGCGCTAAAAATAATATATTCTCAAAGTGGGCAGTAGACAAAACAAGTTTGGGAAACCCTGCTATAGATACTAATCACACCAGAAGACACAGTCTGTACGTTAGCGACCTTTTAAATAGATGTATATTATCTTATTGAAGGTCCCCAAGTTGTTTTGTTTGAAAACACCGCTGCAGTTAGTTTATTCCGCTTTTATTTCTGTGTAGTTTATTTTTTATAAAATTGTTCGATCGATTTTCTTAGGACTCTAACTTTTGGACCTGACACTTCCCGATTCCTAAATTGATTCAAAAAAATCAGTATTTCGTTAATCAGTATTTTGTATAAAGTCTCCCTCTGGAGACTTTATACATATGCTTCACGGTTGAAACACGAATGGGACAGAGGCACCCAAGCAATCGACTTTTGTACAGTCTCCCTCTAGTTACATTCTCGCTCCACAATAATACGAAGCAGATTAACTATGCGTTGTGCGTAATATCTATAAAAAATACTGCGTAAATATGTGACACTTTATTGGACTATTTATAATAAGTAAAGGCTTTAAAAATATTTGGGATAAACAGCAAACACACTCCATTGGTATTTGTTTGTACTGCATTATACACATAGACTCGCTTAGCACGGGAATCAGAACAAACAATGATTTTTTACATCGCGAACGTGCCTCCACATAACTAGGTTTCATTTTAGGCCCTTCACCACGTCACGCATAAATCCCTTTATTTTACGATTCACACAACATCTCGTTATCCATCGCTTGCTAATAAACGAACTCGTCGAATGTCTTCGGTTTAAAGCGAGCAATGTAAATCGTTTTTATGTTGGTGTGATGTTCTGTCTGAGTATAGATGCGTGTCTATATTAACAGCTCATTACGATAAAGGGCCCCTTCGACGCATAGCAATCAAACTGGTAAACATTCGCGAAATATATGAGCCGCGTACACAGTCATGCGGGTAAGTGCTGTAGTGTGTCATTATTAGACACTACGCCGGTTGGGGGAACGTATTC